TTGCATCGAAATCAAGCACTCTTGTGGCTTTTTTGTGACTGTTTTATGTATGTGACTGCACGTCCTATGAACCCACGTGGTAATGTAGATGATTCTATTCGAGTACTTGACATGTTATGACATTTTTCCTGCCCGAGAGAGATCCGAGATTCACCACCATGCCATCTCGGGCTCCGGGTCGAAATGTTTCATCTACAGTAATTCTGTCTCGTAAATGTCACCTTTTCGCTCCGCATCGGAGAGTAGAGGGTGACTGATTTACTTACCCGGCCGTCTAAGTGTTTACGTCACTCAGTAACTAAAGTAATCTTACTCAGGGCGTCAGATGTTTGTGTGTTGGGAGTTGGAGCAAAACAACAAGCTCTTGACAGTTCAAAGTCCCTTGACTTGTGTGTTCACCTCTTGTCTCTCTTTACATAAGGGACACTTGTTGTTGCAAGGGGCGTGTAACTAGCATCGGACCAAGCCAGTTGTGGGGGTTTTTTGGGGGGTTTTTTTAATTGTTTTTTTTTTAGGAGAGTTGTTTGTTTTGTTTGTTGGTTTGTTGGTTGTTGTTTTGTTTTTATGTTCCTTACATATCAATACTGGCATTTGCGGTGCAGCGGCCTGGCGCTCTGTTGTCGTACGCTGGAGACCCGTGTTCGATTCTCGAGTGTGGGCGGTTGGCGGGTGCCCTGGTGTGGTTTGCTTCTTCTTTCCTATCAAACATCTATTGTCCTTATCCCCCCTTCTTCTTTTTTTATGTTTGTTACTCTCTTGTAACACCTCTAATCGTCTGGCGCTCATATGACCTTATGCAGTTGCGAGCGCCGTAAAACCTCTACTAAAACTAACTAAAAAGATTCTCGAGTGGGGAGATTTCCAATCGAGTATCTTGGTCTTTCTGCTGGGATGCTGTATCCCTTTCTGCCGGGGTTGACCCTGATAGGCAGGGTCGAAACCATCCTTCTACTTGAGTGTGCCTATGGGAACGTAAAACACATACATTTAGATTATAAAAAAAAGAAATCATGTCTTAGATGGTTGGTGGGTGCTCTAGTGTTATTTACCCTTTCTTTCCTGTCAAACATCTGTCGTCCTTATCTCTCCTCCTTTTTGTGTGTTTGTGATAATCTCTTGTAACATCTCTTGTCTTCGGCACTTGAATGACCTTATTATGTTGCAAGTGTCGTGAAACTGTTACAAAAACTATAACTTTCAGCCCGGCTTGGTCCTGATAGGCAGGGTCGCAGCTGCCTTTCAACTGGTCTAAATTATGTAGACGAGGGCGTGAAAACATCTATATATTTTGAACCCCTTCTTCTTCTTCCTCGTTCTCGATGACAGCAGCTAGACAGTCAGTCCGATGTCGCGTACAATCTGTGTAGTTCGCTTCAACTCTGAGAGACTGCCATAGAGCTTTCTCTCAAGGGGAGCCACACTCTGCCTCGTCTGCGCGAAGGGTGGCATAGCGCGGGGAATGCTAAAGGATATGGTTGGCATCCTCATGGTCGTGTCCACATTCACAGATAATTTGAACAATAACAAAACAAAACTGAAAAAGTAAAATACAAACACAAAAAAACAAACAAACAACAACAACAAAATAAAACAAAAACCAATTATTTCTTAGAGAACAAAACAATGCCAAAACCCCCCCAAATATTTCTTAACTATCCGATTATGTGTGTCCCCAGGTGGAGATGCTAGAGCGCAAGTACGGCGGCTCCATCCGCTCTCGCCGTGCTGCACGTACCATCCAGCGAGCCTTCCGCCAGTACTGCATGAACAAGAACTTCCAGAAGTTACGACACTCCTGCGGGGAACGCCGACTCTCAAAGCGACTATCGGAACTGGGCCGGAGCAACACTGTGTGGACAGACCGCCTGTCTCAGGTACGTCTAGGGAAATAGTGTCATGCGTTTTGGTGTAATAATTTAAGTGTTTTTGGACCGTGTGGAGCGTGTGAGTTGGGGAGGGAGATGGGGGGTTGGGGGATGTGCTAGTGGAGAAAGTAACATGGATAATAATATTATGCGTTATATGTACAAGTGCTCACTGATGTGTGTATTTGTAGTTGTTGTTGAAGATGGAAATTTGTGTTATTGTTCTTTGCCATTCTTTTTCTTGTTATCAAGTAGCTCTTTCGACGATTCAAGTTTTATTTTGTTAGAGGATTTATCGTTCATTCTTCAGTTCGCCCGTTCCTTTATTCATTCATTTATTCGCTCATTGTGTCATTCGTGTTTAGGATCATTTTTTTCCTTCCTTGTTCCCTTCGTTTACTGTTTCCTTCATTCAACTGTTCACTGAGTCGTTCCTCCGTTCACCCAGGACCTGACCACCGACGACAACGGCAATCTCAGCAGCCTCAGCCACTCCAATGAGGAAGAGGCGACGTTCGGGCGAAACATCCGCAACATGGTGGCCGACTTTGAGAACGCACGCGGCGTTGTTTTGGATAGTAGCAGCAGACTCCACGCCCACCACTCCCATCCCCACCAGCTTTACGGACAGGCGCCGCCTGTGAACTTTGACTCCGTGACCCCAGGGATTGAGAAACAAAGGCGCGCTTCCAGCGGGTCATCGTGTACTTCTGTTTCTTCTTCCTCCTCCCTCGTGTCTGGCCAGCAGCGCGCTGGAGAGAACATTAACAGCTACAAGAAAAGGTTGGAGAGGCATCCGAATATCGTAGACGCCTCTACTGCGGCATCTTATTACGGCAAAGAGCCGGCGTCCGGAGTCCCCCCGCATCACCGCGGGCAGTTGAGCCGGAACGCCTTCAGCAGTCCAGGATTTAATCTGGAGAGCACGGGAGCTAGTTACGGTCGGCATAAGAGCGGCCCTGCGATGCCCGTGATGAAATCATCCAGTGTGGGGAGTAATTCTTCGGGTGGATATCCAGACCCGAACAGTAACGCGGGATCGCCGTACACCGAACTCGGCTCTGGAGCCGGACAGGGCGATTTCATGCGAACGGTGGGGCCCGAGAGCGCGGCCGTGGACCCGCACAGTTTGGACTTTGAGACTCTGCTGGAGAGTAAAGAGACAGACATTCTCACCGGCAGTTTTCACAGCGACGGCAGCAGTACTACACAAGAGATATCAGGCAGCGGCGGCAATTCTCATGCCGGCGGCAGCGGCATGATCACGCGGCCCTCGACCTCTTCCTTAGGCAGTGGGGATTACAACCCGGCCTCCGATCTCTCACGTCTCTCCTCCTCCCCAGCGGGGTCGTTTGACAGCTTCAGGACGTTGTCACACGATCCTAGCGACTACATGACGTCAGGAGTAGGGGGCGGAGTCAGCGGCGTCGAGGTGACGGTTGACCCCGCCTCCCCTGACGACCCGATGTACAGCAAAGAACAGATGGCCGCGGCCGTGCAGGCTCAGATGAAGTACTACATGGCCAACTCCCAAGTCAAACACCGCAGCAACCGCGACGCCAACATCTCCTCCCCCTCCTCGTTGGGGGCCGGGCCTCCAGCCCCGCCCCCAAGCAACGTAGCTATCGTCCCGCCTACCCGCGCCGCCAACAACACGGACACGTCCCCAATCTGGAAGCGGAAAGGCGACGCCCCGGACGCTCGACCCTCACTTGTCGTCGCCAACGGCGGGAGCTCCACTTCCTTGGACCGTAAAGGGGAAGTAAAACGCATGAGCAACATCTCGGAGACGAGCGAGCCGGACAGCGTTGAGGGCGGCGTGAGCTCCAGCGGGCTCAGCTCGGAGAACGTGAGCACGGAGAACATCAGCATGGGCTCTCTGGGCTCGGAGACCTCGCTGAGCTACCAGCGCAAGCTGCGGATGAGCATGGCGCCGGACGCCCAGACCATGCCCAGGACCAACGACAAGCAGAAGAAGCGATTGTACCGGATCGGGCTGAACTTGTTCAACAAGTGAGTATCTCTACCTTTTATAACCCTCCCTGTTATCTCTGCT